TTTAAATATCAGGCATAATGTAATCAAACCTATTTTTTTCATGATTGACATTTTATTTTCATTGAAGTCCTATTTTTAGAATAAACACATAGAACTTTTTTTTTACATTTCTTATGTTCTACTCCTAATTTAGTCTTTTTCTCTAAACTATTTTGACTTTCAATATTTTTATATAAAAATTAGAAAAATGAGAAAGTTTTAAGTAATAAAGAGAAAGGTGAGATGTCTTATATAAAGTTAGATTAATGTAACATTCTATGTCACTATTTTATCCATAATTTTTTAATATAGTTTAACATATTGATTTTTTTCCTATTTTATCCTATAGATTAATATAAAAAAATTGTATTATTCATATTAAAAAGCTGAAGAAAAAAAATAATGAGTGTGAATCGTAAAAATAGTGAGATGAAAAAAATAATGTATATACTATAATTAGAACATAACAGTTTTAATAATAATGATGATGATAATAATCAAATAACAAATATATCATTTTTAGAGTAATTGGATGGGGAGTAGAAAGAGTTTGAAGAAAATGAGAATAGTTAGAAGAACTGGAAGGACCTAGAAGGAATTGGAAGAAACTGGAAGGAACTGGAAGAACTGGAACTTTAGAGTTCAAGCCCTAAAGAACAGGCTCTTAATTCAAGATCTAAATTAAGACTAAATAGAACACAGAGTGACCACAAAACTAAACGATGAATTGAAGATAACTGAGGGGGTAATGCCCCAGACTCAAGGGGGTTGCAGCTCATCGTCGTAGGAGAAGAGCTACGAACAAGTTTGTGTGAAGAGCGCAAGGCATTGTGGACACTTGCGTGACATGCTGATGAGCGTTGTAAGACATGTGAAATGTGTGTAAGAAAAAAATTGTGACATGGGGGAGTGGCACGAGAAATAAGAAAAATTACAAATGGGTGGTTGATATTAATGTTAAAAAGTGACAAAAAGTACGAATGATTGTGAACTACACAAATATGACAAAATATGGTGTGGGAGGGAGGGAGTATATTTTTTAAAAAAAGTTTAATGAGCATAAACCATGCTGCCCACATTCTACAGCAAATCCATTTCAAATAAGAGAAGCCCAACCCCCTGCCAGATTTGAGGTTTCCAATATTACATTATTACTGCTTGGCCACAAGAGTGGCACATCAGATCTATAAAGTATGAATATGAATTCATAATACTAACCTCGGACAATGTGCAGTTAGCCTCGCCAAGAAAATCTTGCTCGTCCAATCTCAACATCTGCATGAGGTTAATGTTATATGAAGACTAACATTTTCATTTTAGCATTAAAACACTTAACAACTGCATTTTGAATGGATTGGGTTGAAGTGAAGGACCAACGACAACCCTAAACAAAGAGCGCCAAAAAATCATAGGTATCAAATAGCCAGATATGTTCACTTAACTTTTCAAGAAAAATAATGAGGCACAAGAAATACCGGGCAGTTGTTTTGGTAGAAAAATGATTAAACAATGTTAGGATAAAAGTAGAAAACTTATACCTTCGTATCTTGAGTATGCAAATGTGTGTCAACATCATAAACATGAAACCTGTGTATAAAGGAAAATGAGACTAATAAAAGGTACTCCTCCGTCCCAAATTATTGCCAATTAATGCGGATGAGAGAAATCATGTGAATGATTCAATGTTTTCCTTAAAAAGAATGAGAAGTTTATTTTTGGACAAACCAAAAAAGGAAAGTGAGATGTTTATTTTGGTATGGAGGTTTACTTTTTTCACCCAAACTGTATACTTAAAGTGAGAACGCACATCAAATTTTGCACCATCTCAAATTGATAGGTTATTTTAAATTTAGCAATCCATCGAGGGTTAACCGAATTTAGAACCACTTCTGTTCGACCTAGCTCTTGGAGTGAGCCATCCTTTCCTCTGGAATACAAAACTGCCATAGGATCACGCTGTAAACAAAACAACATTTACAATTGATTATGGAACATGTCATATAGTCTTCCACAATTCAATGAAAATATCCCTTGGATTCATATTCAAGGACCTAGTGTAAAAGATCTTAGGAATCATGATATATATGAACTTGAATTTTTATACAAACACTCATACATTTAGGCTAGAATTGAGTAATTGACGACTAAGTTTCCTCACATTTCTATATTTGGCACCTATGTAATGACTTCAATAATATTACATGAATATTTGTAATTCTACCTTGCTAAATCATATCATACTTCATAGTTCTAGTTAAAAAAATTAAAACAAACCTTGGAAAGCGCATCACGATCATGTAAGTTTGAGGCAGATAGAGATAACTGCAAAAATGTATATTAGAATGTATCCAACTTCAATTTACTAGGGTTATCATAACAAAGGGATGTTTGTCAACGGTCTGTCTAACATCTTTCAAGATTGAAAAGCTCAATGTAACATGTAAAAAGCAACCACCATATCTATATTTTGTAACTATTCATTCATTTAGTATTTCCAGTCATATTTCAACCATACCATGTTGTAAACTTGTACCGCATGACTACATAATGGTACTTCCGTCATATTTTTCTCAAACAAATGCATGAATTCTCTCCACCTAGATGATCTTCAGGTGGTCATGAGTACACTATAGTTTACAAATGCAACGTAAGTACTCTAACATGGAAGTCAGCACTTCAGTTATTATCTCTTCCATATAATAGCATGCTTAAATGCACTAGGCAAGTACATGACACCGTAACTGATAGCATCATTATCATAAAAAAGATCTAGTCAACTTTAGAACAGGTTTCAATTTATGTTTTTCCTGTTTTCTTCGTGATGATCCAAACATTTGGGATTTTGGGTTTTAGTGTTTTTGGTGTGTTATTCAAACAAGTGCCATATGGATGTTGAATGCCCCCAATATACCCACGTAAACAAAAAAGGAAGCCTTTCTATATTCCATGGTCACGTCTGAATAACTTATGCAGTCCAAGATGTTGTCACCTCTTCAGCAATGTGACTTCTCCAGTGAGTCTTGTCAATAAAAACAATTGAGAAATACTAACATAGAACTGGTACAACTTTACATAGTAATCCTGCAGTTCTCAAAAACAGATTCTATGTTTCAAACACTATTTTTTTGCCAAAAAAAAAATAAAAAAAAAAGTCCGTAGGATTAATGATTTATACCAGTTGTGTCTTACCGGCACAAAAAGGTTGTACATCTCCTATCAAGATTCTATCTGGAATTGAGGCATTATAAAGTACTCTATGACACAAACGAAGAGGTCAACTATCCAACATGAGCTCGGGCAGGCATTAACATTTAATGACATGTGAGATCACACCTCAACCGGAAGACTCAACGTTTGAAAACAATACAAGGAGATTTCCGTACGAAAAAAAGCATACAGTTTAATTGGAACCTCGATCTGAGAGTAGAGCCAGTAATAGCGTCGAGACATGAGAAAGGCATCCACGGAGTTATTGGCATCATCAGCCAGATTGTTTGCGGAACTCCTGATGCCGCCCACGGCCGCCTGACTGTCGGGCCCGTTGGAGCAGCAATTCCCCATCGGCGTCGCAGCTGTCAGGACCCCCCGTATCCCAGTTTTTATTTCCCAATGGTCACTGTATTAGAGCAATGCTGGTAGGTGTATCACATTTCTCCCGTACCCCTATTCCACCACTCATTTTTATCTAATTTTTTTATTTAATTTTTTAAAAAAATTTTGCCATTTAAATGGTGGAGGAGGGGGTGGGTGACAAATGAGGTACACCTTTGGTGTATCCCTAACATTTTTCTTGTTGTGAACTTACATTGTTCCAATTAGTGAAATTTACACTCAATAGGACTAAAATATAAGTAATTTTCCAATGTAAGACTTAAACTTTTTTATTTCGTAAATAAGACTTAATAATGACTAGTAAGAAAAATAATGACCAAGTGATGCTTGCCATTTAGTTGAATAAAGATTAATAGATAACCAATGGTCCTACATTGAAAAATAAAAGGGAAAAAAACCAAAATAGCACTCTTAGATCATTAAAATACTCTAAATTTTTATAATTGGCATATTTTTATGATATAATTTTTATATATCAAATTTTTATTATATATATTTATTCAAAACTATATTTAATTGATTGAAGAAAAAATTTGATAAAAAAGAGTACTATGCCACTATGCACAAAGTATATGATGGGAAATAATACGTGGCTCGATCCACATTTTCCAATTATTTACGAAGACACTCAAATCGGGCATGTTTAGTAAAATGGGGGAATAAGAGAATATTCCTCCGAAGATGCTCCCTTCCCTCTTATAAAAGGAGAGGTATTCCACCAATAAGAGGGAGGCCAAATCCATTCCATCCTGCCCAATTTCTTTTCTCTCTAGAATAGCATGTATTTCTCTTCATTTTCAAGAGCTTCTAGCTCCACCATTAATAGCTTCTAAGCCCAAATAATGTATCGTGTACAACCCCCGATATAAATAAAATTCTCCCATTGGCAAGGTACCGCCAAAAAAGGCACGTGGTTTTCTCCCAATTTGGGTTTCCACGTCAAGATTCTGTGTTTATATTTTGGTGTATTTTTGTGGACTAGTTTATCATTTTTGCCTGGCTTAATTAAAACGATATACCGGTGGGTAATTTACGCCATCATTTTGGCGCCGACCGTAGGACCCGAAATATTACTCATGGATGACCACAAAATTTTACAATCATTTGAAGGGGAAGCTTAGACGATTTGTCATCGTCATCCTCGACGGTGCTGGGAACATCCGCCGTCACCACAGGTTGGGTCTGCCGACATCACAAACGATGCACGAAGCTGCTGCTGAAATCCCTAGGCCAACTGTCACCCTTGGATGACTGTTGGTGGCGGCCCAACTTCTAGCATGGACTTAAAAAACAATTGCTAAAAAAAGGGGCGAGAGAAGAAGAGAGACTCAAGTTTAAACATCCCTTTATTCTTGTTATATTTTCGTTACAATATATATATCTTCGCCCAATACATGGCACTTCTGGATCTTCATCACCCATGGCTCTTTGGGTTTGGAATCTTAGCAAAAAAAGAGGGGGAAAGAAAGGAGCGCCCCAAATTGCATCCGTAGTCCACCGTCGCCTTCCCCTACCAGGGTCCACCGTCGTTGCTGCTCAGACTCGCCTCCACCGCTGCTCAGACTCGCCTCCGCCCTTGCTCAAACCTGCCGTCGCCGATAGAAATAGGGTAAAGAAGAGGAAGAGAAGGAGGAACAACTCCTTGAGCGGCTGGGCTACGGCGGGGCAACATTCTGGCCAAGTTCTGGTCCCGGTACGTCACAGACTCATTCCAGACAGACAAGGACACGTTGCAGAAACTTCAAGGAGCAAAAGACGGGCAGCCACATCTTATGCCTCAAAGCAGAGGATCTTCTCTTCGTTCTCTCTGTGCCATTTTTTCCCTAGATGAAGACATCAACCAGTCATCCCCCTCCGCCGGTAACAGCGTGGAGGAGACCATCTGCACCGGCACCGCAATGGTACAATAGAACATCGACGACTCCTCACGCACCAACATTTTTGACCCACTTGTCGGTTACTTCCTCATCGGCATTAAATATAGCCTCCCCATTTTAGGCCTAGTCAAGCTCAGCGCCAGCCACGGCTCTCTTAAAAGGTTGCCTCGTCCTCTCCAAAGTTCATTGCCAAAGACTTATGCTGCTGCCACAGGAATCCTTCACCACCACCACGAGGTCTGTCATCAACGCCGTAATCGCGGCCCACGCACTTACTGTTCGCCCGATCAAGACCGCCACTAGGTTTGTCATCAACGCCGCAATCACAGCCCACACACGTACTGCCGACGCTGCCCCTTTTAAATGGGGGGAGGATGATGGAGCTTGTTGCCAATTGATTCTCTCCCGCAGGCATGAGTTCGTGGTTTTCACTATGGACCGCCATCACTCGACCTCGTTCCTAAATGAGAGAAGTGTACAGCCGCCAGTGGTGGAGCAATGAGCCAGTGACTAGATACCATTATACCATCATCATACCCCCATCACCATACAAGCACATATGGCCATACGGGAGTGCAGAAGTAGGAAGATCTGAAGAAGTCGCTGCTGCCACCAAGAAGTCGCTGCTGCCACCAACGAGACTTGGCATCATCACTACTTTCACTGTAACCACCAAGCAACACTAAGGTCTCGAAGATTTGCATCGGGCTAAGAAGATTTGCTTGCAACCAACAAGTCACGTGTGAAGATATCATGGGCAGAGGCATGTTTTTTCTAATTATTTCGAAGGTGGCATTGGGATGGCATGGGTCCACTGACAACACAAAGATAATGGAGTATCAAATACTCGGGTATTTTTTAGTGGGGAGATATTTTCATGTGGGAATATCTTTGAAAATGGAGAATTGACTCCACAAATATATATGTTCCTCCATAATTGCAATAATGGAAAAAGTTCTAAGAGGCAAAACTCCAACCCATGTTCGGCGAGAAGGAATTAAGCAAATTCCCATACCAGTTGCTACACCGGTCTTGCTCAATACTTTACAAAGAAAGAAAATGAAGACTGAGACACAAGCCAAGCTTAGTACGCTGATCTTGCTTAGTATTTAAAAAAAAAAAGAGGAAGACTGCTGACATGCTGGTTACTACACTGGTCTTGCTCAGTATAATAAAAATATACGGAGTATATATATAATATGTGACATAGGCCTGGCCTGGCACACTGGTAAAAATCATTCTTCTTCAAGCCTTTTAAGTAAGGCACTTCGGAAGTGGTCTCTGCATGACATGAAGATTTTTTGCATCAGTTAGCCGGGCTAACATCGATCTTCGACAAAGGTGCTGTAGTGTACTTAATTCGTATGAAGCAACGTCGGTATTTTCGATATACTAATTTCGCTATACATCGTACTAACAACGGTCTCGACAAAATAACTACTTGAAGCACCACCGCTTCATCGTACTAACTCTGGTGTCGTATAACTACTCGAAGCATCATTGCTTTATCGAACTGACATCGCTCTTGTTACGATAATTATTCGCGCGAAATTTAATCACCCTAACACCGAGCTCCTTGGTAAAGATAATAATTATTTGAGCATGACATAGGCCGGTCAAAAAATAAAAATGTATTGTACGTATTATTTTTTGCAGGAAAAACATCTGATTCAAGAAATTAGAGAATTAATAAAGACTCGGAGGACTAACAATATCAATCGGTCAAGAATGGAAACTAAGAAGACTAAAGATAGCACTCGGAGGACTTGTTTACTTTTTTAAGTTGATGATTCTCACAACTTAAAAAAGTGGAGGACTTTTTGATGGGAAACAATATGTGGCTTGATCCACATTTCCTTATCATTTGCAAAGAATACTCAAATGGGGCCTGTTTAGTACAATGGAGGAATAAGAGAATATTCCTCCGAAGATGCTCCCTTCCCTGCTATAAAAGGAGAGGTATTCCACAAATAAGAGGGAGGCCAAATCCATTCCATCCTGCCCAATTTCTTTTCTATCTCTAGAATAGCATGTATTTTCTCTTCTTTTTCAAGACCTTATAGCTCCACCATTAATGGCTCCTAAGCCTAAATAATGTACCGTGTACAACCTCCGATGTAAATAAAATTCCCCCCGTTGGCAAGGTACCGCCAAAAAAGGCCAGTGGTTTTCTCCCGATTTGGGTTTCCACGTCAAGATTCCGTGTTTATATTTTGGTGTATTTTTGTAGACTAGTTTATCATTTTTGCCCGCCTAAAACGATATACCGGTCATTAATTTACACCATCAGTATACATTATGTGAGTCCCAATTTGATATAGGAGTTGAAAGAGGAATTGAAACAATTGATAGTGGGATATAAAAGGGATTAACAACATAAAGGGTATTATTAAAAGAGATTGACAACATAAATAGCTAATTTTGTAAAAAATAATAAGCTGTGATAAATGCGAAGTATTAGATGAGTTAGAGTGCTGCGTAGGGTGATTTCTTATAAATATATGGTCCTATATTGAGAATGTCATTATGTTTTAGTCCTATTTAGGTAAATTACCCTTCCAATTATTCAAATACTATTTAGAACATAAAAAAAGTTTAAGTATTAAATTGGGAAATAACATTGTTTTAGTGTACTTAATATATATACTTTGTAAATTAAAAGAAGATTATACAAAAGAATTTCATTAATTATTTGTGTTAAGATTTAAAACATTAGCTCGTAGGGCGGAGGAGGGGGGCATGCCTGTGCAAGTGCCCCCCGGCGAAATTCCAGCAAAATAGGAATGAGTACCCAATCGGCAATGGGAGGCCGAATTTGCCCCCCCCCCCCAGATTCTGGCAGCGACGCAGGTAGAGCCGTCCAGCTCCAGCAGTTTCTGAAAACAAAACAGGTCTAGCTCCAACTGTGCTCCGATCGAAGAATATAAGAAGAGGTAGCGTTTTCTAGAAAAAATATTGCCAAAACGACATCATTTTAGTAATGGGTTTAAAAGAATTTATTTGACCCTGCCAATCACTACTCGGCCCAACAGTGAATTGTCTAAAAAGAATACGCAGTGGCGCAATAGGCTGTAGCAGAAATGGAAAAAGCAATTATTTCTTGAATTTCTCCACTGTCAGTGATTGGAAGCAGCTCAAAGTGTTTTTAGTGTGTTAAGTATGTTTGAAAAACATTTTTATGATATGAGAAATGCAATAAAAAGGTTTTAGCCTAAAGAGCCAAGACATTTGGTTTGCGTCGGTCTTGATCACATTTATGACCGACTCAACGACACTAAACACTACGGTCTTCGTTCTTGGTCTTCTTTTATCTCTTGTCATTATCTTTGTTTCTCGCCTTGTATATTCAACACTTTGTCTTGGTCACGACGGTTTGTTATTATCAAAACTTGTCATAAAAACGAACACAGCTTCAGTACGAAAACATGATAAACCCGTTTTTCAACATTATTATGTTGCTTTATTATTGAATCGGGAAATTTTGAGATGTGAGATGGATAAATTTGTTATTAGACATAAGAAGAATTTAAAATTTGTAAGTGATAGAGACAATGAAAAAGAAGCTTCTTCTTCTATAGAGAAAGAAAGTGGGTTTCAAATGATGATATTATTGCTGATCTGGGATTACGAAAAACAATTAATATTTTTCCATTGGAAATTAGATATGTAATAAGAAGAAGATACTTAGCAATATGTCCTTGTAAACAATCGATGGATAAATTTCCACAGAGTATGACGGGCAAGAACAAAAGAAGATTTCAAAGTTATTGGTTGGATAAGTTTAAGTGGTTGGAGTATAGTGTCGCCAAGGATAGAGCATATTGTTTGCATTGTTATTTGTTTGCGAATACAAACAAAAATATATTAAAGGCTTTTACTAAAGTTGGGTTTAACAACTGGAAAGATTGTCCAAAAGCATTTGTTGACCATGAAGGAACCAAAGAAAGTTCTCATTCTTATTGTAGAATTAAAGTTCAACAATATCTTAATCAAAGAGAGAGCATAGATTATGTCTTTTCGACTAACACTGATGCCATTGAAGATGATTATCGTACTCGGTTAGCAACTGTTGTAAAAGTGGCTTGATATCTTTTGGGGGAGGGCTTAGCTTTCAGGGGACATGATGAATCTCCCGAATCAATCCATCGAGGTAATTTTCTTGAGCTCATATCTTGGTTTTATAAGACCAATGTTGTTGAAACACGGGTTTATCACGTTTTCGTACTAAAGCCGTGTTCATTTTTATGACACGTTTTGATAACGCCAAACCGCTGTGATCAAGACAAAACATTGAATATACAAGGCGAAAAATGAAGATAATAACAAGAGCTAAAAGAAGACCAAGAATGAAGACCGTAGTCTTAGTGTCGTTGAGTCAGTCACAAATGTGATCAAGACCAACCCAAACCTCACGCCTTGGCTCTTTAGTCTTAAACCTTTTATTGCATTTCTCATATCATAAAAATGTTTTTCAAACATGTTTAACACACTAAAAACACTTGGTGTTCGCCCAAACCAAAAACCAAGCCACCCCGCGTTCGGCTTTCAGAAACCGACGTTCGGCATTCGGTTATCGGTGTTGGTTTTTGGCGTCCGAACCAACCAAGTGGTTTTCAACATTTTATGATTTGTTTTTACTTCTGGGCATGTTGAAATTGTTCTCCAACAAAAACACTTCAAAAACCATCTTTTGTTTTTGGTCGTTTGTCAAAAACCACGCAGAACGGCATAAACTTGGGTAGTTGTGATTTTTAATCAAATGACGTGGTTTTTAAAATGTCTCACTTGATTTCTTAGCCAAATACATCAAATAAGTGTTTTAAACACTTTATTTTTATTTTGGAGAACTTTGGTTTCTTCGGTCGTTTTTTACATCGGTTGGCTAGGCCATGGTTCAGGCAAAAACCATTGGTTTTTGACTAACCATCCGCCCAGCGATGGGAAGAGTTACCCATCGATGAGTAAGCAGACCTTTAGCCCATCCAAATTCCAGAACCATGCCAAACAGCGATGTGGAGTTCTACCCATTGCTGTTCAAGCCTTGGTCCAACATTAACACAAGGCAGAATGACCTTACCCCGTGATGGGGACTTTAACCCATCAATGGGAACCCAGCGATGGGAGGGCATACCAATAACTAGTTCGGCATGACCGTTGTAAGTCATTTAAGGTTGATTCTTTCGTTGTTTGAAAGTCAACCTCCCATCCAGCGATGGGAAGCATGTACCCATCGATGGGTAGGTGACCGTTGGCTTCAAAACTGAAGGAAAATTGGCTTACCAGCGATGGGTAAGTCCATACATCGCTGGGAAAGCCAATATCCTGCAGATCCACATTTTATTCAATCCCATAAATCATGCCCATCACCCCTTTAATGCCATGATCCGTGGAGCCTGTTTTGGCACTATAAATAGGGGTATTTTGGTCTGCTTTACGCACCAATTCACTTCACAATATTCATATTATCATTGTTGGAACACGGGTTTACGCCTATGTCGTACTAAACCGTGTTCGTTTGATGACATGTTTTGATAATGCCAAACCGCAGTGATAACAAGATTAAACTAAGAAAATCAAAGAGGAAGGAACATGACATGATGAAATGAGAACCTAGAACCAGGAACCAAGAACGAAGACTTAGAAATAAATTGAGTCAGTCTTAATGTGATCAAGACCAGGACAAACTTCCTAACTTGGCTCTCTAGGCTCATTTCATTAAAATATTACTTTGCATATTCAAAAAAATTTTTCATAAGTTTTAAACAAGCTTAAAACACTTGGTGTTTGCTCAAAGCAAAACCAAGCCATCCGGCGTTCGGTTTTCAGAAATCGGCGTTCGGCATTCGGTTATCGGCGTTGGTTTTTGGCGTCCAAATGAACTAAGTGGTTTTCAACATTTTATGAATGGTTTTTACTTCAAGGCATATTTAAATAGTTCTCCAACAAGGACGCTTCAAAAATCACCTCTCGTTTTTGGTCGTTTAGTAAAAACCATGCAAAACCGCGTAAACTTGGCTATCCGTGGTTTTTATCTAAATGATGTGGTTTTCAAGATGTTTCACTTGATTTCTTAGCAAAATGCATTAAACAAATGTTTTCAATACATGATTTTTATTTTGTAGAATTTAGTTTTTAGTTACTCATTATCCACTCTAAAAGAGAGTATTGTTCTTGAGTGATTTAGTGTTTTTTTAGACACTTGATAAGAGAAAGTTTTTCTCTTGAGTAGTTTGAAGGAAGGGTTGTTTCCTTCGAAGGTTTGTCAAGGTTCGTGACTCGAACTCTCAAGTTTTACGGGTTTGCTAAGCACCGTTAAGCTTAATGTTGATAGTGTAGCTCGAGAGAGTCTCTCGGGAGGCTAGACTAGCCACACGTTGTGGTGAATCAGGGTTAAAACGGTGTGCCTCTTCCTTGCTCTTTACTTTACGCTTTTAATTTTTTATTCCTACGTCATTTTCGTTTCAAATGCTATTCACCCCCCCTCTAGCGTTGTGACGTTTTTCTAACAATGTTCTGAATGAAGGAAGGCGAGAAGATCGATGCACTCAAGAAGACTTACGCCAACAAGGATCTAGAAAGGGAAATCCTGTGGAGTCTCACACCCGAATTGAGGTCAAAGGCCGACGCAATCTACGAATCCATCTAAGTCTCCAACGTCACCATCAACGGGTTAAGAGGTAACCTCAAAACTTATGAATCCAGTATTCTAACCCCATCTTTGGATGAACAAACGAAGAAAGGAATAGCGCTCAAAGCAACCAAAGAAACGGTGGAAGAAGTCTCAAGTGATGATGACAACGAGTTTGGACTCGTCATCAAGAAATTCCACAAGTTCATGAAGAAGGAATTTGAGTGCAAAGGAAGAAAGCACGACTGTCCCCCAAAGTGCTATGGGTGTGGCGAGATAGGCCACATCAAGCCGAGGTGTCCAAGAGGCAAAAACGACAAGGACAAACTTGGCTTCAAAAAGCAAAGAGCATATATCTTGTGGGGTGGCGACTCCAGCGACGAGTCAACCGACCAAGAAGAGGATGAAGCCTCCAACCTCTGTCTCATGGCACACGAAGACCAAACTGACGATGTACAAGAGGTATGTACAACTTCTTCTGACTCTTACACTTTTGAAGAGATGCAAAAAGCACTTCATGAGCTTTACGATGAATTTGTTAGCGCTTCAAAAATCAATAAATCATTAAAGAAACGTCTTTCATCCCTTGAAAATGATTTTGAAAAAATGGAAAAAGATAATGAAAAATTAAAACAAGAAACTAAATTTAATGGCAAAAGAAGCGCTGACAACCCAGAAAGCTCTTCAAATGAATGTGAATCTTGCAAAGCTTTAAAAGAAAAAGTTACAAAAATTGAGAGTACATTTAAGAAATTCAATACTCAACACAAAGATCTTAACTTACTCCTTGACACTATGCACTTCTCTAAGGAAGGACTAGGTTTTAATAAAAACGAAGCTAATGATAAAAATGTTGAGCAGACACCTAGACAACCTCCTATGGCTCAACGTAAGAAAGTTAAAACTAGGATAACAAAAAATCTAGTCAACCTAAGAACACTAAACAACCTAGACAAAAACCTAGGAATGAAAATGTGCATGTTAGACAACCTAGAAAAAACTATCAAAATGAATTTGTGCATAAAAATAATTTTTCAAATAAACAAAAAAAATGCTAAGACACCTAGAAGAGAGAATTTTCAAAAACCAATGTTTTCTCAAAATAGGTTGAATATCGTTAGGCCCCCTAGTAACTATTATCAACCTAGGAGGATACACAACCCAAATCTAGTTTGCCATTATTGCAATAGGGTAGGACATATATATAGCTTCCGTTTGCTTTACTAGGCATAGGCATTGGACACAAAATGAATTACACTACCACTTTGCACCTAACACTCAAGGACCCAAAAAGATCGACTTGGCTACCTAAACCTTATTAAATCATTTTTGTAGGTGTGCTTGAAGGCGTCAAGCGTACTTTGGTACATTGATAGCGGATACTCCAAGCACATGACTGGAGATGCATCCAAATTCCTACAAATCAAACCCGCTAAAGGAGGAAACGTAGTCTTTAGAGATAATAGGAAGGGAAATATTATCGACATCGGTTCGGTAGGTAAATCCGAAGACTCCTCTATAGATAATGTCTTGCTAGTTAAGGGTCTTAAACATAATTTTTTGAGCATAAGTCAATTATGTGACAAGAGAAACCGTGTGACCTTCTATTCAAAATCATGCACGGTAAAACGCCTTAGTGACAATAAGGTCATTCTACGTGGTGATAGAATCGATAACATATATATGGTTAACTTAGACAAATCTCTTTCCGGCTTTGCTAAGTGCCTCATGAGTAAAGAGGAAGACACTTGGTTATGGCATCGAAGGGTAGCTCATATGAACATGAACCTTTTAAACAAATTGGTTTCACAAGACTTAGTAATTGGCATTCCAAAACTTAAGTTTGAAAAAGACACCATATGTGATGCATGTCAAAAGGGGAAGTAAGTTCGGGCTTCGTTTAAGTCTAAGAACGTTGTTTTAACGTCTAGACCGCTTCAACTTTTGCACATGGATCTCTTTGGTCCTTCTAGAACGAAAAGTTTCAGTGGTAATTACATTGCGTTTGTGATTGTAAATGACTACTCTAGGGTTACATGGACCTTGTTTCTTACTCATAAAAGTGAGGCATTTCACGTTTTTAAAAATTTTCTAAAGAAATTCCAAAATGAAAAAGACACAACCAATTACTCGACATTTTCACAAAACCTTTAGAGAAAGAGTCGTTCTTCCGCATTCGTAGTGAACTCGGAATCCTTGACTCCACGATGATCTAATTTGTGAATTTATTACTCCTTTATCTTTGTTTGAACATTTACTAATTTGAGCGTCAGAGGGGTTTCTAACTCTTTTTTGCAGGGACGGTTCGATGTGAGGGAATCAGGAAGTCAGGGGAACCAGCAATGGGTGGTTTATTCCATCGCTGGGAGGGAAGTCTCTTCATTCCAAAACCTCTCCACCCATCGATGAGAACTTCCTCCCATCGCTGGGTGATTGACTCTTTCTTTTTAAAAATGCTTAATGGATTTCCAGAACCTCTTTACCTATCGATGGGAACTTTCTCCCATCGCTGGGTGTATGACTTTTGTTTAAAAAAAGTTTCAGAACCTCCCTGCCCATCGATGGGAACTTCCTCCCATCGCGAGGTGTTAAACACTATTTCTTTTTAAAAATGTTAACGGATTTCCAAAACAACCCTAACCAGTGATGGGATGGTACTAACATCTCTGGGAAGGTCAATTTCAGTTTTCCTCCTCTTTTCAGTAGCCACCTTCCCATCGATAGGAGAACCCACACATCGCTGGGAAGGCAGCCTTGATCTCTTCCTCGCTTTCGAGTGATCATCTTCCCATCGATGGGTAGATCCTACCATCGCTGGGAAAGCTGTTGTAGTTCAAAAAATTATAGCCGTTGGGCACCAAATTTAATGCCCAACAGTCATATTTTTTTAATTCACACAGTTTTCTATCCTCTCCCTATATATATTCATCACTCTTGGTCATTTCTAAACATAATTTACATCAGAATTTCAGTCTCTTAAGCCTATTCTTCCAAATTCATCACCTTTTCTTCAAAAACGCCTCAACAATGGCTGGAGAAAAGTCAAAGACGAAGGCGTCCAAGAAGAGAGGCCCTGCCGAAGCCTCAAGCTCTGCGCCTCAACCCTTTCCGTACCTTGACGGATCCTTTCTCGAGTTTGGGTTGGAGGAGGAACTCACCCGATTCCTCACGCACTTCGCCAAGCGCCCCATCTCTCCGCCTCGAGTGCTCCCAGAGTTGTTTCCCCAACAAAAGGGGTACCACGAGCTCGACAACCAACTCCAAGCGTCGGGTTTGTGGTCCTTCGTCTCCAAGAGCCGCACGTCCTACAATCCTGCCATTGTCCGGGCGTTGTACTCCAATCTTCGCCGCGATGGCGACACCATCTATAGTAGCATCAATCTCTACGACATGGAGATTGATTTGCCTACCTTTGCCAGGATCGCAGAACTGCCCATCCGAGGGGACGACATTGCGACGTGCGGTGGCGACGATTGGATCATCAACAACGAGGCGGTCATCATTCGAGAGCTTGGGATCACCAACAACATTCGCCACAAAAGCGCACCGATAGGGGTGTAAACGGATAATATCCGTGACGGATATGGCATATCCGAATCCGTATCCGTTTAAGTTTAGGAATATCCGAATCCGTATCCGTATCTGGCAGATATGTACTATACTATATCCGAATCCGTATCCGACGGATAATTATGAGTTTCGGATATATCCGAATCCGATTAGATATCCGAAAGTAACCAAATATCTGAATCCGATTAGATATCCGAAAGTAACCGAATCCGAAAATATCCGAGTCCATTAAAAAAATCCAATTAGATATCCGAATTTATTTATAAATAAATTAAACACAGTCCAAAACTATAATTGAAGTCCATAATACATTAATACCAAAAAACTTTAGAATACAAAAAAACAATACTCAATATTTTACCAAATATCTAATAATACGAACAAAAATATTAGTTTCTAATCGATAAAGTACAAATCGTATTTAATTCAACTCAAAATTTTCTCAAGAAGATAATCTTTTATGCATCCAAAATTGCAAGCTATTTCACTTGCTTCGTACTTAAAAACCCACAATATACCATACCTGTTAAAAAAAGTCAAAGTAGGAATGATATTGTGTTTTCTAAAACAACAAAATGAGGTTTAAAAATACAACAAAATAAAAAGTTCAAGACTTCAAGAAATCAAAACTGAAAACTTCACCTCAAGGAAGGAGAAGACAACAATAATGCATATCATTCCATGGATGTGTCACCTATGAGAGAAAAAAAATCAACATATTAAATATTTTTTAACGAATAGTTGTTAGACAAAGAAGTGATAAAATTAAAATTACTTACCTTCTCCTTTAAGTGTTGGCAACCAATCTTTCACACAAAGTAAGGCCTCAAACGTATCTGAATTAAGTGAAGCACGAGTATCCTCTAAAACCCTACGAGCTCGACTAAAAGTGGACTCCGAAGGCACAGTGGTACATGGAATTGCCAAAACATCTCAAGCTATCTTTGAAAGAATTGGGTACCGCACACCATTATGCTTCCACCAATTTAAAACATCAAATGCATTATCTTGCTCAATTACTAATCCCTCCTCCAAATACAACTCAATCTCAGTTTTTTTAGGATTGGAATTGGCACTTGATTGAGCAACAAGTTCTCTAAATCTCGTTAAAAGAGGAAATTCATTTTCATCCATTGGCAAGCTTTCAACCCGATGAGAAGAGTCACTTGAAGTATTAGCCTCGTGAGAAGATGTTTTATCATCATACTCAACAAATAATTCTTGCCAAAAAAGATTCACTTTGGTTACAAAATTGCTAGATTCACCAAAAGCAGCTTTAACAAGTGTCATCTTATATCTCGGGTCAAGAATAGAAGCAACAGTCAAGACCAAACTACACTCATCCCAATATTTATCAAATTTTGATTGCATTAATAACGCCATTGTTGAAATTTCTGCATCACTACTATTACTCCATGTATTCAAACACTCTCTTATTTGACAAACAAAAGTGAAATAAAGAGGGGCAGTAGGATACTTACTCCCGGATAGTGCATCTGTTGCATTTTTAAAAATCTTCAGATGTCTACAAATCTTCGCACCCATTTCCCACTCTTCTGTTGAGGGTAAGCAAGAGTAACCTGAATCTAACTCAGCCAAACGGTTAAATGCTTCTTTGAGATCAAGTGCACTCATAAGCATATCATATGTTGAGTTCCATCTTGTGTCACACTCTAAACTTACACGTCTCTTGGAGTTTAGTCGAGTCTAAACCAATGCAAGACCAAATTTTTCCTCTCTTTGAACGGATCCATTCACATATTTTACGCTATCACGTATTTTTCCAATTAATTCCTTAATCACATCCAACCCATGTTTCACAATCAAATTCATAATATGTGCTGAACATCGAATATGAAACAACTCCCCATGACGAACTAGTGCACCCTTTCCATTCAACCAATCCTTAATGCCATCCAACATGCCAGAATTTTGTGAGGCATTATCCACAACCACAAAAAATAACTTTTGATCAATATTCCATTCAAGAATACGATTTTTTAACCATTCACACAAACGCAAGCCACTATGTGGATATTCAACAACATGAAAAGCAAGCAATTTACTCTGCAATTTCCAATCAGAATCAATGTAATGACAAGTCACACAAAAATATCCACGATTTTGATGATCTGATGTCCACCCATCAGTTGTAAGAGTCACTCGTGAATCTAAGTCTCCAATAACATTATAGATTATTTCCTTTTGTTCTGTGTAGACTTGCATCACATCATTTTTCACCATATTTCTTGATCGAAATTTGTAGGATGGCATGCAATATGAAATCCAATTTCTAAAGTATTCATATTGAGACATAAGGAAAGGCAAATCATGTTTGGCTATCATCTTTGCAAATAAAGCTCTTTCAACTAAAGGGTCAAACTTTAGATGTTTTGATCTTATTGGAAGGATTGGCATTATCAATAGATTTTCCAATAAATGCTTGCCTGATATCAACATTGTTAGCTCTAAGAGGGCAAGTATCATGATGATTTTTCAAATGCGTAGTGCCACCCTTACTTGATCCATCAAATTTTCTTTTACAATCTTTGCAAGTTGCAACATATTTAGCATCTTTACCGACACCTCCAACATACTCCCTAGTAAAGAAATCCCATACCTGTGAAGTCAACTTCCTTTTCTTCACTTGTACATCCGTATCTTGTTGTGAAACAATTGATTCAGATGGTATAGAACTAGTATTAGCGGTGGATTGAGAAGAAGCATCAATGGTTTGTTGTGTCTGTTCCGCCATTTTCTACAAAAAATATTTAGTTCATTAGGTCAATAAACAGTAAAACAGTCCATTACATCTATTTAATTAGTTTCATTCTCTTACCAGTAACTCATAAAAAATATAAAACAAGTTAAAAAATAAATGCAGAACAATTTACAGATTTGTTAAACAGAGAACAATTTGTTAAAAGCAGAAGAATTGAAAAAGATAGAGTTTTTGACTATTTTGTGATAAAAAATTATTAAAAACAGTCTTCAAACAAGATTCAATTGTTGGTCAATGCACGGGTCCAGAATCAATAATTTTCCATAAAATTGGTCAAAAATTAAAGAAGTGATATCATTTTAAATTCAAACAATTTTAAAAAAATTATTGTAAAATCTAAAATCAGTGAAAAAATGAACAGAACAGAATATTGGAGCATTCAATTCTAGAAATTACATGGTTGTTTTGTAATTAAAATGGCAAAAAAAAGGTAAAAAAAAATTCTCAAAAAAAAAGAAGAGCAGACAACCAAAGAAGGGATTGAGGGTTTTGAAAATGAAAGAAATACCTGGAGATTGATGGCAGTGGTAGGATATTTTCACCCACTTCACGGAGATTGTAGAGATTGATTTTCGCCCAATTCACTGATGGATTCACTGTGACTTGTGTTGATACTTGATACTTCGATCGATTCACAGTACTGGTTCAGCAGAGAGCATCGTTGATTGATGTTTGAGCTTGACTTCGAACGATTTTGGGATTGGGGAGAATTTAGATTTGGAATGACAGTCGAACTGTTATACCCGAACTGGGGGTCTAAACGAGTTGTTATTTTGAGGAGGAATCAGGGAATGATTCAGCTTTGAGTTCAAGGTTCTAGAGCAGGAGATAATCGATTTACACAAAGTGGCAATCGATTATTGAAGGCTGCAGAATTTCTGGGGAAGCTGATAGTCGATTATCTGGAAAGGATAATCGATTATTGATCCCTGCAGGTGTTTCCAATGGGACTGATAATCGATTCTGGGGAATGATAATAGATTATTTGGCAGAATTCTGGGCAGGAAGAAGGGTGTTTTTGTGGGGGAATGGACTGGAAATATATGGAGATGATGAGGGAGTTCTTTTGGGTATTTTAATGGAAGAAAAGAGTAAGATTAAGATGAGAAATGGGGGGATATGAAATGGAAGAAATCAGGGATGGATAAACCAAGTTGGTGTTTAAGAGATATTACACACTCTTACCCTAACTTGGGGTTTGAATCTAGAATTCAAATAAGATATCACACACTTATTTAAATATCTAGAACCTAAAACTCACACTTAAGATATCCACTCTTAAGATATAGAATTAGGAATTTGGCTAAAATAGCATCACACTATTTTAATAATACTCAAAGAGTAAAAGGAGTTTTTAATATTCAGAGATGTTTTACAATGGCCATAAGGCCTGAGTTTTTAATACATAAGGGAGACTCTAAGGTCTCTTATTCACACAAATTAAAGGAAAAACCAGAGCCACTCATTATTGTCCTTTGGGTGGGGAAAAATTAGAGATGGGGGGTGTTTTGTAGGGTCTTTAGTGAAGGTACATCAGGGGGAAAATGAATGGCATCTCCTTTGGTGATTTGGAGGGGAATATTTGGGCCAAGGGGGAAGGGGTTGTGCAGGAAATGGCTGGGTTTCTTTGGGGGCTTCTTGTAGGCATCTTATGGGGAATAAAGTGAGGTCTAATTGGTGGGATGATTGGCCATTATGTTTTGGATCATAGTGGCTGTTTGTATATTCAAGTTGCTGGACATAATGGGAAGCAAGGATGGGGTTTTGGCTGGGTATTTTCGGCCAAGGTAGGAAAGGATCAAGAAAAAGGTGCATCTTTTATTCAAAGGCTTAAAAGAAGGAATTAACAATAAACAAAAGGTTTATGGTTTGTCCTCTACATATTTTCGTCCATAGGGTGGAAATAAGTGTAAGAAGACTTTATTTTTGAAAGGAAATAAAGAGCAAGGTGTTTTGGATGTTTAGGGTGGGTTTGGACATGGTTGGGGTGGCCAAGGGGGTTCGAAAACAACAAGGGTGTTGGGTGACGTTCCTGAATGGGGGAAATGATCGAAATCAACCCAATAAGGATTATCACACTTAATCACGAATCCACTGATTTGTTTGAACACTAGTGGCACGTTCAAGAGTTTGGGTAGGGCGTGCCCGGGTATAACACGAACGGAAGACGAAGAGGGGCTGAAGCGGAGGAGAATCGCTGAATTGGGAAAAAGAACTACGGAAGAGGTTGACCTCCTAAAGTTAACATGTTTTGAAGTAGGTTTTTTTCTTTTTTCCTTTTTTTTCTTAAAAAATTTCTTTGTGGGCTTTTTCTTTTTTTACATGGTAGGGTAACATATTGGGAATTAATAAATAAATTAGTAATGGTAAGCTATGTAAATACTTGATAATCTACTTGGGTTATATTTATTCAAAAAATTATTCGGTATTCGGATAAACGGATTAACGGATATTGGTAAACGGTTATTTAAACGGATGTATATTCGGATCGGATTTTAAACGGATCGGATATACAATTACCATATCCGTATCCGTTTAGTAATCGGATACCTTTAATCGGATACGGATAATATCCGTTTAAAACGGATACAGATATTCTCTCTTTAAACGGATACGGATGCGGACGGTAAACGGATTTTCGGCTATCCGTTGACAGCCCTACGCACCGACGATCCACTCGGCCCCGCCGGAGAAGCGTCTTCTTCTCTACATCCTCACTCGGATTCTTCGCCCCTAGGACGGCAGCCACACCTCTCTCTTCAACGAGGACTTGAAGGCGATTCAAGCAATCATCCACAGCGCCTCCATCAAATGGGCAAAATTCGTCATGATACACATGACAGATTGCGTCTCCCTCGCTACCGAGCGGAGCTTGCCAAACGCCTTCCTCGTCATGGATCTCATCGTGTCCGCCGACATCCACATTGCTGGGCCAAGCACGAGGATGACGAAGCTTTGGGTCATTGCCGACAACACCTTCAAGAAGAAGTCTGGAAATCGAGACGGCGCAGGACCGAGTCGTGCCCCTGCCCCTCCCTCGCTCCCACTCGGGCCTCTTTGCAGTCCATAGCCGACACCTTGAATCGGCTAACCCTCACGGTGGACGGTATTGGGCAGTACATGGAGCGGATGGACTCGACGTTGCAACGCCAACATCATGACATGACGGCATTCTTCCGTGGCATTAACTACGTCCCGCCGCCTTTTGACAGCACCATCCTCGGCCAAAACTTCGAAGGCGGGGATGAGGACGACGACTCATATGCTCCGTCCTCCTTTCCCGACGAGGAAGACTTTGAAGATGCAGTCGACGACGATCCCATAGACGTTGAGGACAACGACGACGACGAATCCTAGACTCTTCTTTTTTATCTATTGAATGTGATTGTATTCTTCAATTTCTCTTCCATTGTATTCCACATTTCCCTTTTAATGAATAAAAGATTACTTTTACTTTTTTTTGTTAATGTCAAAATGGGGAAGATATAAGGGTTATGCATAGATTAAGGGGGGACTTTTTCTAGGGCACAAATTGTTTATAATATAAAACCACAAATATTTGGTTGAAAATAAAATTGCATTTATTAAGGGGGAACATTTTTTTAAGTCTCAAAAGAATCCTCCTATGTATAATCCTATCTTGTTTGTCATTATCAAAAAGGGGGAAACTATTGAAATACGGGTTTATCACGTTTTTCATACTAAAGCCATGTTTATTTTTATGACATATTTTGGTAATGCCAAACCGCCATGATCAAGACTAAACATTGAATATACAAGGCGAAGAACGAAGATAAGAACAAGAGCTAAAAGAAGACTAAGAACGAAGATCGTAGTCTTAGTGTCGTTGAGTCGGTCACAAATGTGATCAAGAGCGACCCAAACCTCACGCCTTGGCTCTTTAGGCTAAAACCTTTTATTGCATTTCTCATATCATAAAAATGTTTTTCAAACATGTTTGACACACTAAAAACACTTGGTGTTTGCCCAAACCGAAAACCAAGCCACCCGGCTTTCTTCTTTCAGAAACCGACATTCGGTTTTCAGAAACCGGCATTCGGCATTCAGTTATCGGCATTGATTTAAGGCGTCCGAACCAACCAAGTAGTTTTCAACATTTTATGATTGGTTTTTACTTCTGCGCATGTTCAAATTGTTCTCCAACAAAAACACTTCAAAAACCATCTTTCGTTTTTGGTCGTTTGGCAAAAACCACGCAAAACGGCATATACTTGGCTAGCCATGGTTTTTACTCAAATGAAGTGGTTTTTAAAGTGTCTTACTTGATTTCTTAGACAAATACATCAAATAAGTCTTTTAAACACTTGGTTTTTATTTTGGAGAACTTTGGTTTTTTCGGTCGTTTTTAGCATCGGTTAGCTAGGCCATGGTTCAGGCAAAAACCATGGGTTTTTGACTAACCATCCACCCAGCGATGGGAAGAGTTACCCATTGATGAGTAAGCGGACCTTCAGCCCAACCGAATTCCAGAACCATGCCAAACAACGATGTGGAGTTCTACCCATCGCTGTTTAAGCCTTGGTCCAACATTAACACAAGGCAGAATGACCTTACCTAGTGATGGGGACTTTAACCCATCAATGGGAACCCATCGATGGGAGGGCATACCAATAACTGGTTAGGCATGACCGTTGTAAGTCATTTAAGGTTGATTCTTTCGTTGTTTGAAAGTCAACCTCCCATCCAGCGATGGGAAGCATGTACCCATCGATGGGTAGGTGACCGTTGGCTTCAAAACTGAAGGAAAATTGGTTTACCAGCGATGGATAAGTCCATACATCGCTGGGAAAGCCAATATCCTGCAGATCCACATTTAAATCAATCCCATAAATCATGCCAATCACCCCTTTAATGCCATGATCCGTTGGAGCCTATTTTGGCACTATAAAAAGGGGTGTTTGGGTCTGCTTTACACACCAATTCGCTTAACAATATTCATATTATCATTGCATTCAAACAACATCTTTTTTCATAGCTTTTTAGAGCCAATTCGTGTGAAGTTTGAGTTGTTCTTGAGCGTACTTAGTTTACTCAATATCTACTCTTAAAGAGAGTCTCATTCTTGAGTGTATTAGTGTTTTAAGACACATTGAGAGAATGTATTTCTCTTGTTTGATTCGAAGGAAGGGCTGTTTCCTTCGAAGGACTTGTAGAGGTTCGTGTAACTCGAATTCTCAAGGTGTAAGGGTTTGTTAAGCACTGTTAAGCTTAACGAGATGGTAGTGTAGCTCGAGAGAGTCTCTCGAGAGGCTGGATTTGCGGTGAACTAAGGTAAATTCATTGTGCCTCTTACTCTTCTCTTTACTTCTCCTTTAAATTTTTTATTCCTGCGATTACTACGATGAAACGCTATTCACCCCCTCTATAGCGCTGGTCATTTATTATAACATTTCTTAATGAAAATAAGAATGCATACTACATTCATTGTTTTGCCCACGCACCTACTTCAGTTAGTTATTGTTGCAGCTGCACAAGATAGGGAGAGCGTATTTGATTTCTTTGAAAAGCTATTGATGATTGCTAATATAGTTGGATCCTCATGCAAACGGAAGGATTTTCACCTTCAAGTACACGAGGAGGAAACTTTGCATCGCATAGAAATAGGTGAATTGTCAACTGGTAGGGAGAAAAATCAAGCAACGTCTTTAGCTCGACCAGGTGATACACGTTGGGGCTCTCACTACAAAACTCTTGTTCGTCTCTTCGATATGTGGAATGCTATTGGTACAATGCTAAATTCGTTACATAAGCATGGTTAAACACCTAAAATTAAAAACAGTGCTAGTGGCATTCTTGATAAAATGGATTCTTTTGAGTTCATTTTTATTGGAAAGTTTATGTTGAAAGTTTTAGGTATGACTAGCACCTTATCAAAGATATTACAAGCACGAGATCAAAATATTGGTTGTGCTTTGAATATGATTGGTGTAGTAAAAAAAGAACTTACAAGATTTTAGAGGTCATGGTTGGGATGCCTTTTTGAAGGAAGTTAGTGAATTTTGTGAAGAACATGCAATTGATGTACCTAACATGGAAGATTATCTTTGTGGGTGATCAAGAAAGAAGATGAAAGGTTGTGAACCCATGACAAATTATGTACATTTTCGTGGAGAGATCTTTGCAAAGGTATATTACTCTTATTAAATTTAAATGCTGAAATCATTTTTGGAAGTATTTTAATATCATAACATATTAAATAAGTTATTATTATTATTATTATACTTTATTTGATGTTAGGTCATTGATGATCTTGCTATTGAAATAGATATACACTTTACATAGACAAACACAAATTTACTAAGATGTGTAATGTGTCTTGATCCTTCTAAATGCTTTGCGAGTTTTGATCAATATCGGCTATTTGAATTTGTTGTATTATATTTAGAAGATTTTAGTTCTAGTGATCGAGTTGAGCTTATTCATGAACTTCAAAATTACATTTCTGATATGAGATCGAATGAAGTTTTTACTAATATCTCCAAACTTGGAAGTCTTGCAAAGAAGATGGTGAAGATGAATTATCACACATATTTTCCTTGGGTATATCGGCTTATAGATTTGGCATTCATATTGTAACGCCCCAAAATCCGACTTAGTATTTTTAATTAATTTATAAAATAAACCAATTACTAGGACGTTCAATACGAAAATTATTTCCTAAATTGCCTTTTTAATATAAGAGATTATTCTACGTTGTAGAGCTCGTTGTTTTAAATTTGACCATGCAAACAGATCATGGATCGAGCTTATAGGGCCCAAGATACGACTGACGAATCAGATAATTGGGTTAAACTTATCCTAATTGAATTAGGAAGTGTAAATTGGACCCAAAACCCATTTAAGTATATAAAAGAGTACACAGGGACGGTTTTAGAGAGACACAATCTCTCTCCCTTCCTCCTGTTCGTTCGTATCCTCTGCCTAGTTAAATGCATTTGGAGAATAAGTTAATGAAGGATATGGAGCTGGCCGAAGGTCTTTAAGGGTAAGTTGCATTGGGGGCCTGTGATTGCATGTGCAGATGGTGTGCTGAACGAAGACGGAATGGGGGTGAAAAGTCCTGTGGATAATTAAAAAAGGCAAGGGTGAAGAGAACAGAGCAAAGAACAGAAAATGCAAATATGCGTACCCGAAAAGAGAGACCAAGTGTAGTGGAGGAGCTAATTGGAGCGAGTGGAGGTGAAAACGAACCTTGATTGCGTGATGTCCTGACTGCAATAGTGCACATGGAGAAGAGACATTCTAAACTGCGTGGGGAAGTTACTAAACTGAGAATAACAATGAATGCGCAAAGCCGACTTTTGAAGAGGGTATTATTAGGAGCAAAAATTGCTAAGCGGCAACAGAACAAGAAAGGCGATAAAAGAGAAGAGAATGGACTGCCGAGCTTTGATTTGGGTATAGAGAGCCAAGGGGGGAGAGATGATCCAGGCAATGATCAGGAAGAAATGATTTACGAGGAGGACATTATTAAGGATGCTGATTTTGGAACCCAACTTGGTGTTTCTGATAATGAAGTTGATGATCCTTTGAATGACGTCAGCACACAAGAGATTGATGGGCGATGGAGGAAGGCAATTGAGGGTTTGGGGCTGAATTTGGATTCAGGAAAGGGTGCAGGGAGTAGTAAGTCCATAAATGTGTCAAAGGAAATGACAACAGATGATGTGCAGACTGATGAAAGGGTAGTGGAAGATCGGGCTGATGTTGTTGATCGAATAGATGTTGCGGAACTTGTAGGAGCATCAACAAGTAATGGCGTATGTGCTGGAGTACCTGATTCTGTGAATGGAACTGTAAGTAAACGTTTTGATGATTACTTGTGGATTCCCTAACTGATATATATTAGGATGTAATCATTTTTTTTTGGAAAAAAACTTGCCTTTGAAGGTAACTGGAGCAGTGGTTGGTGGGTTCTGTGACGGGTTTGAGACTGCATCTCAAATTGTTGAGGTGTGTGTTGTCCAAAATGTATATGTTAATGTTGATATATGTAAATGACTGATTCTACACTCTCTGTTATTTGTCTAGGAAATCTAGGATTATCCAGAGTCTCAACTATTTTTCAGTTTAAAGGGGGTTTTGGTTGGGGGTGTTGAAGATACAAAAGTTCAGGAGGTTAATGTATGATGTTCAAAATTGATCATGTTTTTGTGGTTTTTGTTAGTCATTAGGTGTTGTTATGTTTGCATGTCCTCAAGTCGTTGAGTGTGGTTTAATGTTAGGCACAAGAGGTGACGCCAGAGAAAATTTTCAGTGAGAATGTAAGGCCAGTGGACCAAGAGATTGTGGACGATGGTGCTGATGAGGAAATGGTCAATGAGAAGCCATGCACACAAATAGTTGTACGTGCATTTTGTTTTTACCTATTATTTTGAGTGGTTTGTACTGTAAATATGACTAGTACAGGTATTATGTTTTGAACTAGGGTTTTTTTTGTTATATGAGTAGAAGTAAGATAATGACTTGGGGGTGGAGAGATTTAAAGTGATGGTGGTCATTTCATTGTGTATCTAGTAGTAGTGAATTTTGTTACAGATCAGCGTTGCGATAGTTGAAAATTATTGACTTCGTTTTTTTGAAAGACATTATTCTGTTGGAGTCTTTAGTTAAAGACTTTGTATGTCAACGGGTATGTACATGTACCGTAAACTGGTCAGCCATGTGGTGGGTCTAACACAGGTGTATGAAGAACCAATAAGGGTTGAGATGTCAAGAGAAATAAAAGATCGTCAGAAAAGACCATTGAAATGTCCACATCGGTTCACTCCTGACCAGTTGATAGTCAGGCATAAAAGGAAAAAGGTGAGAACAGTGATGGAGCATGTTGTAGACTTCGGTGGAGATGAAGATGATTTCGTGGGACCATTCACATTAGACCCCGCTGAGATGCCAAGTGAGGACGATTTGAGGGAGGTGGATGAGTTCATGCACAAAGGTCTGTTAAAGAAGCATAAGACGGCGGCCGGGCGTAAGTATTGTTCGAATGAAGATGTTCTTGCACCAAGTGAGTTTAAGACTCACTACGATGAGAAGACCACCTTAACGAAAAGCTGGTACTACGAACTGTATTTCCCTTGGGGGTGGCTGTCAGATACGGTAATGTTGATTCAGTTAATTATATACGAAACTCTGTGTGCTGTGTTGAATGCATATGATAATGTAATTAATTTTAAAATGCAGCATCTTGATGTCATTTTCTACTACCTAAGGATGAAAGGAGTGGAGTTCAGGTTAGCGCAGAGGTACACAACGACAGACACACCGTTCCTTGAATTAATGAAGACTTTGTGCGATAGATATTTGAAGAAAGAACTGACAATTGAGCAAGCTACACGCAATAAGTCAATAAGGAGCACAATCGTTGGAGGTAAGATAGAGTACGGCCGTCCATGGTAGGGTGCGGATTTCGTGTACATGCCACTCAATACAGGGAGCCATTGGACATTGCTGGTCCTGGACATTACGCAGAAGGTGATCAGAACATATGACTCAAGCCTGCGGAGAAGCGATTCGAAAAAGAAACTGCAGCAATTCATGACAAGCCTCCAAATGTTTCTGCCAAAGCTGATGGATAAGCTGGGAGTGTATGAAGGATGGGAAGAAGGTCCGATAGGTGATGGTGTCCTTGCGATTGAGGGTGGGTCATGCTGCCCTCAGCAAAATGACGGGTATGTGACGGGCATTAATGCACGAAGGTAAGTACTGATTTACTTAATGTGGTTATTTGAACCTAACATCTTCTGTTCTGGCATGGCTCAGGTCTAGTTGTGGGATGTTCGTAGTGAAGATGGCAGAATTTCTCATGATGGGGCGTGATGTGCGCGATATGGATGATGCTGAGGTTGCCGCATACCGGAAGAAGATGACAACAGAGCTGTTGGCCTACTCCGGGAAGTAGGACGTATGGACTGCGTTTGGAATGAGACAGACATGCACTCGTTTAATGTTTTGTTTAGAGCAATGTTTAGGTTTAATGAATTCTATGCACTATATTTTTAAGACAGTAGTGAGGGCTGTTAGTTTGATACAATTAGTTACACTCGAAGAATGATGTTTATTGATGTGAGTTTTTTTGCACTGGGCAGTTTGTGTACTTAAATGGAACTTAATGTGTTAGGTTATTTTTGTAGTAGAATTCTAAGATAAGATAATGAAGCTGAAAAGTTGAGGAGATATGTTGGTTTTCAAGTGGTATATGTTTGGATCAGGTTTGTTTAGGATGCTTCGCAGAGGGCTAAACATGGTGTATTTTTTTGCACTTGTGACCTGTTTAGTCATTAGTGTGTGTCAAATGACTATGGGAGGTGGGGAATGAATTGTTTCCCAATGACAAATTGAGTACCAGAAAGAAATAAAATAAGACAAACTAAATGATCCAAAAAAATGAATCTCTGAACATGTAAAAAAAATGAACTAGAAATGGGACAAAACTAATGGACATGCTGGACCAAGGTTCCCTGGAATGTTGTGCTTCCCATACGTCTTCCTACGGAAGTCAAACGCGACTTGAGGAAATGGGATTCGCACAAGTCTTTCTATTATGTCCTGATGATTTGTATCGTGAGCAGGTTTGCCGCTTCGCATGTTCACCGTACCTTTCGACGGGATCCTTCGCTTCTTTGGTCTCCCTGGAGGTCGTTTGGAGCACGATGGTGGTCTGCAAACAGTTTCAGCAACCTCATCAGGTACAACCCACGAATCTTTGGAAGGGATTGGGTGTATGATTCCACTATACGTAGCTCTTCAGGAAGCAGCGGTGTAGAATGATGAGATGTAGTCATAGCACGACAATCCATGGCGACAACGAGTCGCAGCGACTGCATGAACACATACAAAATGGTCCAATTGGAATTCGCAGCAGGTACATGTACGATTCTGAAAATTCACAACAAACGACCGGTAGTTCTTGTCAAAAACAAGGAACTCAAATGCACAAGCTGGTCTAACCTGCAAAAAAATTAATGACATGAGTATAGGTTCTTAATGACTGCGAAAGTAGTTTATGTGTTACATTAAACAAAGCCGAATGGGGGGAATTTAGACAACGGGTTGTATTTATAACGACTATAAGTTTTACGTAGTTTTATAGCGAAATAATGGAGGACTCGTAATGAATTCGTATAATGACTTGGTTTTTGCAGGATAGTCATTACGTGTAATGACACGTGATGACCACATTTTAAGGGTTTTACGTGTGATGTCGTTATTGTGAGCATAGTGAATAATATAATGACCACATATTAGTGTAAGACAATGATGTTAAAAAGTAAACTTTGCATCAATTAGGACTAAAACATAATGACATTCTCAAAGGTAGAACCCAAATTTATTTATTCCCTAAAAAGGACTTAATAATGACCTAGTGGGAGGAATAATGTCCAGTAATGATGGACATTTACTTGAATAATGAGTACTTGATAAAGACCAAAAGTCTTACATTGGGAAATAAAAACATATGGACCTAAATTGGGAAAGTCATTATGTTTTAGTCCTATTTAGGTGAATTGCTCGAATTTTTTAGAGTGGGGTGATGATTCTTAATAATAATTAATAATAATGACAGGGAATGTAAGTGCGTGTGAAATTTATTTCAAAAATACTTACTTCCATAACACTTGAAGCCGCATGTAGTTCGAACTCATGTACTCTGAAAGATCACAAAATAGGTGTCGTCAAACGTACTACACAATTGCTTTTAAACAATAGTCTGTAAATATATCAAACAGCTGCTCGGAAGACTACTAAAACCAACACAATTAGACAACTAAAAGAAACAGTTGTCAGCATCTGTTTTTGACGTAGTGTTCCTTAAGTTCCGCCTCGTAGAATCTTGTCAATATAGATGAGGTTGCGTTGGCCAATTCTCTACGCTTGTGGAACCAAACTTGCATCCTGCCCACAAGAAAGTCAACAAGTTGTGTAATCGGATATTCACGCGGGACAGCGTCAACATTGTTCATACACTCGGCTAGGTTGGAAGTCATTATGGAATAACAGTTATTCGAGCAAGATCTTGCCCACTTATCTTTGCCTATTGCTTTGAGGTATCCAATGATCCTGGGGTCATCACTGCTGAGATAATTCAAAAATCGCTCACATTCAACTTCAGAAGCTGCCCTTGCGGCAGCATAAAATTTCCAGGATAAAGACTTCTCGGTGCCATTAAAATTAGACTTGATATTCCCGAGAATGTGGAATATGCATAGGCCATGACCTGCTTTTGGAAAAACTGATTTCACAGCCTTAATAATGCCTTTATGCTTGTCCGAGACTATATACTCCACTGGACGGTGTTTGAGGGCTTGCTTTACTCTTGAGAGAAACCAATGCCAATTCGCATCGTTTTCTGCGTCGCATATGCCAAATGCTAGTGGAAAAATCTGATTATTCCCATCGCGTGCAACTGCTGTTAAAAGTGTCCCCTTATAATATGATTTCATAAAGGACCCATCAATAAATAGGACAGGGACACAATGGGGCCACCCTTCTCTCCAAGCTGCGAGTGAGATAAAAAGATACTTGAACAAGTTATCTGGGGTCGTGGTGAGTTGGATCAAAGACCCCGGATTAGCCTGTTTGAGCATGTAACACATTGAGGGCAAAGCAGCATATGATTCCTCGGGTGTCCCAAAGCAAATTTTCAATGCCTTCTCTTTAGCGAACCATGCCTTCTTGTAAGTCATTGCAATCCCATGTTCCCTCCGCATGTCCGTAACAATACAATTTGGAGTGTACGGCTTCGTCGTTGCATCACAATAGTTGTGTTTTACTAACTCTGCAACGATGTGATAAGTAGCCTGACGTGTGTTGCCTTGCCGAACATCAATAGGGCATTGGTGTTCCCGATTGTACCTGAAAGACATTAAAGACCAAATTAAACCAGTGATGGTAAGAAGTATGGTTTGTAGTCATTATTCGTAATATGCATTAAACAGTGTACACATTATGCAGTGTGGCCATAAAGAAAGATTAAGATAATGTAATGACCATGTATCAGACATTAACTGACTGAGATAACATTGGAAAATGAACTGAGAAAGCATATAATGTCCATGCGAGTAGATAAATACCGTGCATAGCGAAAAGGGACACTTATAGACCTGTTTTTTAGATTGGCTATTGAATGACCTAAAAGTCCTGTTTTTTAGACTTTAAGAAAATCAATAATATAATGACCAGTATATTAGGAGTAAAACCCATTGGTTAAACACCATAAATACACCCATTAGACAGTAAATATATGGGAAATAAAGACCTAGAAGATGGCATGGACACTAACACCTCAAGTATGTGGGAAATAAAGAACAGTAGCATGACATTGGTGAGAGAAGTAGGAAAATGGCATGGACATTAACACCCCAAAACCTGGGAATAGGAAAGTTTTCCGCTAAATGTTAAAAAAAGTAGTACGCACCTACGAATCTGGAACATCTCAACGCCAGGTAAACGCACAGCCCGAACAGCCCATTGGCAACGAGGGAATCAACACACACAATATGCAGCTCGGATTTTTTGGAAGTTCTGGTCCGGTACTGGAAACAGTCGGAAATTGCAAGCATCTTCAAATGATAATCGAGGTCCATTTTGCTAGAGTATATGCATGGCACCAACGACAATCCTAGTTGGATCAAACCGAGATGTAACGTGCATTTCCTTCAATGAGTCAATATCTTGCTGCTGGGACATCACATAACCAGACGGATTGGAGTCAATAGAATTCCATGAAACCAACTCTCTATCATGGTCATTATGCATAGAAATCTCATCTACATTATAGGTGACAAATAATGACTCCTTAGACAAATCACACCGTGATGAGATGTTGTCTCGGCAGATAGTGGTTTCGTTTCCTAGAACATCACGCATTGAGCCATCTGAATCAGTTTCTTCCTGGGTAGTTGAGTTTACCTCACAATCATAACCTGGTAATGTCTGCAGACCTTCGGTGGGGACTGATGCTCCATCAGAGACGCCCATTTCTGTGAAATGATATACTTCCACGCACAAAGGGAATTCACGTAAAGAGGGATAGGTGCTCTTCAAACGAAGGTAGGCGAGAAGGCTCACATCATCTTCAATGACGACATGCCTTGAGGATGAATTAGACATATGCGAGATCTTGAAAACAGAATTTTCATAAGAAGACGGAACCGTATTACGAACCAGTTCCAAAAAATCTTCAAGATGGGTCTGAATCGGAATGTCAATCTCATAAGCATATGCGTAAGAAAAAACACCATTACCATCCCATTCGCCATCAAATTGCAGGAGAAGGTGGATGTTCAGAGGTGTGGATGAACCCTCTGCAAATTTTGATACAGAAACCAGTAGTGAAGAAAACATTGTGAGAGAGGAGCGCGAGAGGAAGAGACTAACGGAAAAAACCAGAGGCGGCAGAGACATGAGTGAAGGAGGGAACTGTAACATGGGTGTGCGAGGAAATAGGGTAACGGTTACTAAAGTGATAAGGATGTGGAGTTAATTACTCACCATTATGATTTAATAAATTTAATAAAAAGGGTGATAGGGAAACGTGGGAAATGGGCATTTTAGGGTGTGTGTTCCAAATTTACTCCTAAAAAAAAGAAAAAAAAGACATAAGTCCTATATAGGGAAAACACATATGTTTAGGTCCTATATGGAACAATTTTTACATTTTTATATATGTAAGTATTTTTAATTTTTAAATAAAATAAATTTAAAAAATTAAAATTTTGCTTTGTTTTCCGTAAGTTGCTAAATATTTTGGAAGGGAGATACAAGAAAGAATTAAAAAAAAAGTTATGGAATTAAAATAGAGTAATGCTTGTAGACTAAGTTGAGAAGATAAAATTGTTTGCCAAGTTGCACACTTCCCTTATCCCTACCATACATTTCTTACTAGATCCAAAAGTTGAGAAGGTATAAATTATGGATAAAGCTAGTTGTACCCGAACCTTTTGTACCCCATTTGTATACCGCAGTTTTGCACCAACATTTTGTGTTGGTGTAAAATTAATTTTTGTTAACGCACCAATACTTTGTGTCCATGTAAATTTTTGTTAACACACTAATACTTATGTTGGTGTAGACCATCAAAATATTTGTGTATAACTGCGGTGTATAAATGAGGTACAATTTTTGGTGTAAGTGTAGCATGGTAAATAAGGAAAGCATAGCAACGAAGTGACTTTTTTCTCTTTCAGGGAAGTCACCAGAGAAACATAACACGCGAGTAAATTAAAGGAAAAGGAAGACAAAAACAAATGGTAGCTAAGCCCGCCTAGCTAGCTAGCCTGCCGATAGATCTTACGTAATTAAATAATACTCCGCAAGTACAACGTAATTGTATGATACATTACATACGTTTGATTATTAATTATATTGTTGGGCTTGGATTCAATTATTCAGACATGAATGTGGTGGTGACGACGGTGTTGCTGCGTCTGCTGCGATTGCATGTTGGGGATACTGTGGCGGGAACACGACGACCTGAGATCGCCGGCCAGCGGAACCACCGGAAGATTGTCGCAGTTGCAGATCTCAATCATGAAGCCGTCGGGGTCGTGGAAGAACAGCTGATCCACGTAAACCCCTCCTTCTTCCACCCTTTGCCTCAGGTACTTCATTTCCATGTCTTTCAGTTTCCTCTCCACTGCGTCTATACTCTCGCACTAATTAATTAACCACATCATTATCTTTTATATTAGAACGAACATCATCAGTCTTGTCCAAATCATACATTCATACTCAATATAATTAATTCATCCCTCTCGAACAAATAAAAAATAGTAAAATTTGCACTAAATAGTACTAAAACATAATGACTTTCCCAATGTAAGACTTAAACTTTTTTATTCCCTAAATAGGATTTAATAATGACCTAGTGGGAGGAATAATGTCCAGTAATGATGGACCAAAAGTCCTAAATTGGGAAATAAATACATATGGTCCTATATTGAGAAAGTCATTATGTTTTAGTCCTATTTAGGTAAATTTCTGAAATAGTTCCACTCCCATTCTTTTACTTCATCTCACAAAAAAACTTCTATCCTCACCTAAAAATGTGTAAAATACATCACATTACCGACTTACCGTATGCATTGATGAAATATTGGAAAAATAATATTGCTCTCTTGAATTATGAAGTACATGATAGAGTATATATAGGAGAGACTCCTAACACAACTAGGAATATAGAATAGAAACTAACTAACATACAACATCTACCACAAATAGGATTAGGAAGCTGACTAATAATGAAACACTACCACAACCAATACTACCACAAGTAATACTATTATTATTGTCTAACATCCCCCCTCAAGCTGAACTCTGGCTAAAGCAAGAGGAAGCTTGGACACTAGCTCGAAACTGGAAACTTTGAAAGGAGAGAAATTTGACGTGCGCCGGTGGCTGCTGACGTCGTTGGAGAAGAGAGAA